GTTTTTTTTGCAGGTTACCGTTGGAGAGCAAAAAGGAGAAAAAAAAACTGGTACTGGAACCGGCACCGGTACCGGCGGTGCCGGTAACGATTTTGGGGCACCGGAACCGAGACCGGATGTGGCGGTACCGGTGCCGGTTCTCGGAACCGTTTCGCCGTCCCGGTTGCCGTTACGGTGCTCGGTACCGGCGGTACCGTTTCCGGTGACGGTACCGAACCGGTACCGTGTCCAGCCCTAGGAGCAACGATATACATTTACCAAGCCACATGGAGTACGTTGCAATAAACTTGTTTATGGACCTTATGGTTATAGTTTCAATATTTTTTTAACGTCATGAAAAAAGTATTTAGTGGTATTGCTTAGCTTTAAGTCTTTAGCGTTTGAGAAATAATATGCATATTAAAAAGTTGTCCAATTTTTTTTTGAATAAGTTATCCAAAATATTAATGTGAATTGAAAGGTTGTTTCCAAACAATGTCTTAAATAATACAGAGTATCTCTTTTGTTTTACTTGATTCTTTACACTTTTCATTTTTTATTTGTTTCATTTGATTCTTTAAGCTTCTTTCTACTATTCACTTTATACCACATCAAACCAATATCTCACCCCAATTTAAACCACTCCCTTTTTTCCTTCTCACATTATCACTTTTCAAGTATTATACTCCGTATCATTTTATTTTTTTCTTTAAAAATCGTGAAATTTTCTCTATCAATAATTGATTCCGCCGGAAAGTAATTTTCAAAATATAGTGGATGTTTTTTTGTGTTTATAAGCTATTCAAAACTATATATAAACTATCTTTAACTTATAAGTCAGCTAATGACGTGTTTCTCTATGTTTTTAAGTTGTTTATAACTAAAAACGTAGGTCTTACATACTTGTATTGAACTACTTTTTTCATTTCTTCGTTTTGAATAAATTATTTACAAATTAAAACTATTACTCACTATTTACGAATATCTTCAAACGATTTATCTATCATTTAAATCAATTTACTCACACAAACAAATATTGACAGAGATATGCACATGTATGCATTATTTATTGTATATGTGTATGCATTATTTATTTTCTCCAAACGACTTTCGGTTGTTTCTTCCACAGTTTGTCTTGAATTTGCTTGTAAGCATTACATACTCCGTATTAAATAATAATTGTGAGTTGTCTAATTGATTCTTTCTTATTAACTTAAATCCCCAAAAAACAATTGATATAAATATGTATAGACACACACACATGTATATATATGTATATGTATATATATGATGGTGTAAATTACTTGACCGGTCAAACTATACTAGACCGGGTCTAGAATAGTTTGCTTGACTTGGTAAAGTAAAAAAGGTAAAAACACGCAGATTGATCGGTAGGACTTTAGGTGGAACACCTGTAGCCCAATTTATATTATAACGGAGAATGCACATGTGCTTTTACAAGGGAGTTTAGAGAGAAGGAATTCGGATCCCTCTTTCTGAGGTTTACATGAGTATTTATACTAGGCTAAGGGGGACAAGACCATGTGCGCCCACGTGGGGGCACGCTGTTGATGTGGTGCGAGGTGACTGGTTTCGTCCTTGAGCTGCCTTGTCGCCTTGCGAGGGGGATTATTCCCTTTGTCAAGTAGTGCCTTGGATGGATTCCTCAAGTATCTCCAGCTATCCTCCACTGACATGGGTCACTACACGCCAAACCCTTCCAGATTCTCTTCTGTCGACACTTTCCAACCCTAGAAACTACACCGGGTAATCTCCGAGGGATGAATTCATCGAAGTCAGGGAATAAATAGGGTGACAACGTAGTTTGACCGGTATATTCTTTCGTGAAGTATACTGGTCATCATTTGGCCGATTACATATCGATTTGCTGATGATTTAAGTCTCCCTTCCAAGACTTTCGAGATTGACCGGTCAACTAATTGGTCTCTCCTTTGACCGGTCGTGGGTGGAATACACCCATCAATATATATGGTTGATACCATGTATTTCACAAACATACACCACTAACAATTCAAAAAAGAACATCTAATTCTTTGAATATCAGAAGGACCATTGGTGAAACACGGCCATTGGTGCTCCAACACGTATATTGATGAACGTGTGATTAAGGCACGCCCAAATTTTACATAGAACGATTATTGGTGCAATATTTTTAAAAGTTCAGGGCTATTGGTACAATTTTTAAAGTTCAATTTGAATCTACACAATTTTTGAAAAGTTTAAAAGTAAGTAACGCAACAAAATTCTTTCCCATAATTAATTTAGAAGGAATTTACTTGAGCAATAACAATTTGTACTTTGTGGGGTTCATGATGATTGCCTAGTATGCATGTTAACGATAAGTGGATAATTACCTTGCATCTTTGACAATGACATACACCAGACACCAAATGTGAGATGCAAGTATATATATGTTGGTAGATAAAATGATTTTTATGTCAAGATTAACAAGAAGAGGAGTGGAGTGTGAACAATGTTTAATGATCATATCTCCATTTCATATTTAAATCTTTAACTCTTTATTCAATTTAGTTTTGTCACAATGTTTGATTTTTTAATTTATAAGGTCAAAAAATGAGAAAAAAGGTCCGCTTGGTTGGAAGAAAATATCTTTCCAAAAATTTCTAGATTATTTTTTACGAGAAAAAGATTTAGAAGGTAAATTGTTTTTCCATCACATTTTTTATTGTTTGTTAAAAAGATTTTTTTCCCAATTTCTTTTCATTACAAATATAAAGTTTTGAGACGATTAAATAATGTGTTGGCACCGTGCAGAGCAGGCAATGCACGGAGGCGAGAGTGTTGGCGCAAGGTGGCGGGGGGGGGGGGGGG